AATATTTTATGAAATATCTATATTACTACTTTAGAGCCAATGCTCTTACGTTACTAGTATTCAATGAATTTATATAAATATACGTATATTAATTTTTTGTTTCACTAAAATATTCACTATCTAGCACGCGAAACGTCTTATCACCATTTTCCAAACATTGACAATATTATTGCAATCTTTACTCTATCTTCCTAATATCAACGACAAATATTAACAATACCGGTATGTACCGTTGAAATGATAAAGAAAAAAATAGATATTAAACAATACCAAGTTTCCCCGACGGCTAAACTCGATCCTGAGGAATATAGTTTCTTGCTGTTATTCAACATATTCTCAGTAGGATGACAATAATATTCATCATCGCTTGGTATTATATCCTTCACGATGGCAAAAAAGTCTTCTAAGGGACATAATTCTGTGCAACCAGGGATCGTTTCGATTATAAGTTGCTCGGAAACACCAGTCCAGAATAAAACCTAGCAACGACATATTGAAAATTATTAATTATGTAAATTTCAAATACAAAATTCTATGTTTTACGGATAAGTAATATTTACCCGGACGTAATAATTCCCTTTCTTATCGCGCAACGTTTCCAAAATGAGAGTAGCACCGTATGCAGGAACAATGGGTTCGTCCAATTCCAAAGCTCTTGCAACTGCAGCTACGTTCATCTCATGCGCTGAGAAAAGGAACGCTTTCCTATCGTAAGGCTCTAATTTGCCCGCTTTGTACATTTTAATATTTTCCACGATTTTGCGTATTAATAGTCCTGTAAAAAGAAAGTATAAAAAATGATTGTTGTATTATTCCGTACGACGTCGTCGATAGCTTCTTACGTGGAAAAGAAAAAAAAAAAAAAGAAATTAATGTTCCTGTACCTCCGTTTAAACGTTTCAGTGTTCTTGTGTACGATCGGAGTTTAAAATCCAACGCGATTATTTCCTTCATCGGAGTAGGATAAACCATTTTGGTCCATTCTGGGAGAGTTAGGTTTTGAGCTGCCTGAAAATCAATGATCCGTCTTTTCGAAAATCTGCATCGAATACTTGAAGTTAATAATAACTGTGAATAAGTGTGAAAGTAATTTCACCTGTTCCTTTAATAAATTATAAAGGTAAGTGACGGCGGATGTTGTGTTGATTGATTTACCAGTCCTTTCGGTCAAATAATTCATCACGGATTTATATTTGTTCATCAAATCCTGCGCCTTGCTTTGTCGCAGGAATTTCCTGTATTCTTCCTTGTATCTTGAGCCGCGAGAGGAACAAGATATAATTATTGTTAATGCGAAATATCAAGAGCTGTCAGGTGTTCGCGCGATCCTATTTTTCACGAATAATTCGCGTCGCGTAATAAAGGCGGACACGAAAAGAATTACCTGGGGCAGTGATGCGGAAATAGGAGATTGTCAGTCTCATAGGGCTCGAAGAATGAGGATGTTGGAATCCATGGTAGACGCGGATTCCAGGTTTGCTTCTCCGAGGGCGGGAATAATCCAGCCAGAACTAGCTGTAGAGACAACTGAGTTCTTGGGATGAGAGTCGAACGGGCATAGATCTTCTCCGGCCAGTAATCTGGCCCGAAATATCGATCGTAACGTTCACGGAGCATTGTCCCAATCTTGTATTCCCGTAGCTTGCCTTGCTACGTACATAGTTTCACGAAACAATTACCATCAACAATTACTATAATTACTATGTATCCTTGACTTTATAATTCTTTTTATAATAACAGTTGTTATCAACGACTTTTTTTGAAAAACTAAAATTAAAGAATTAGGCAATTAGTAGTTAGTTTAGCTATAGCCAAGTACGAAACTGTATGTGCAGAATGAGTCAGGCTTATTCAAATTTTAAAATAACATGGAGTTTTGTGGAAAAGAAAAAGATCGTACATTCAAGGACTTCTTCGAACTCGCAAAATAAATGCAATACTTGATCAAACCACACCTTAGTGCGATGCGATATGAGATTTAGATTCGTATCTGGATAAATTACAATCTCTACTACATGAGATTACATTGAAATGAGAACAAGAGATATTTATAATTATTTAAAATATAAAAAGAACATAAGCGATATTTATAATTATATATAGGTTACACTTTACACTGCGTAATATTGACCTGTAATTATCGCAATCGTAAATTTTTGTTACTTACATTCGTTAAATCTCCATCGCCCATTGGATAGTACGAATAGTCGCGATAAGGATCGTTAGGATAATTTTGATAGTCTCGTTGAGGTACCTTCTCGCCGTGTCGAAACACCTTGAAAAACACACGTTGCGATTAATTTTAACCATCTTTTACATTAACGATTATTCCAAAAGAATCATCAACTATTTCACGCATTGGTAGATAAATGATTATGTACTTTCACTGCGAAATATTTAAGAAAGGAGGTTATATCCGTTTGAAAAACCACAATTACTTGCATACGATTTTCACCTGTACAACGACCGTAAAAAAAAACTTTCGGTAACAAAGTGATTATTTACCACGTGTAACAGTTGTAAGTCAAAATTACAGTTGACCATGGTGACAAATAATATAAGGGTAAAAACCACCACCGTACAATCGAGGAACATGTCTTATTTCGTTGACACTGGTCTGAGAACGATGCAAAGAACCGGCAGGTACGTCCGGAATGTACAATTTCTCCGCGCGATCTACGAATGAGTATATATTCCTGTTCATGCCTAACTCGTCGGGTGGAGGTAGATAAGGAACACAGGCGAACAGGTTTGCAGTTCTCTCGATTTTTATCGCATGTTCCCCGTTTTTGCTTGTTACGTTGATCCTTTTCCTGCTGCTAACTGGCGATTGAAGTGCTCTTCGAAGGCCACGTACTTAAAAAATGAAACATCTGGTAGAGTTTGTCCTTGGTCTAGATAATTGAGGTTCAATATCATACTCTCGAAGAAGTCGATGTGCTTCGTCGATAAATAAAGATTATTCTGGATCGCCTTGAACATACTTTGCATATGTGGTCTCTTGCAGATGAGCCTCAAGAAGTACTTTCGTCCACTATTTTCTCTTGCTTGATCTATGAACTTTAACACTGCCT